TTTTGCAGTTTTTTTTCGTTACTATTTGGTTGGATATGTTGATGCGCGTAGGTAGTGGTGGCGTAACAATGAAATTGTGGGTATTAATATATATGAAAATTGGTTTGAGCGGTTGATATTAAAGCTATAGAGATTATTTGTTAGACAAAGATGTGGTAGAGATTATATAAAAACAAGAAAAAGTCATTGGCTTCCGTTTCCTCCACAAATTAAAAAGTTTCCGTGGAAAAAATTGATTTTCATCGTTCAGTTTGTATGGCAGCTATATATCATAACAATTTCTTAGAATAATATAGCGCTGTCTACTGCAATAAACCATACATAATTTCGTGACGTTATCGTGTTAAACAAAAAAGTTGTCCATACAACGACTTGGTTTTGAACGCTGGGTTTGTATRGCAGCTATATGAAATAGTGAAGCAATATTGACATTTGCAACAAATGAACAGATTCTTAAGGAGAAAATGACCTAAGCGAAATTTCAGAACAATATCTAAAYAACTAAGGGACTAATKYGCGTATATACAGACAGAGAGTAGAGCGTTTAGTTTTCTTTTGGATATCTTTCTAATTACTSTTTTCTTTAAAATCCAAATACCACATTAATTCCATTCACACTAATTACTCAATGACTTACATTTCTGCCACCTTAACTTACACCACCCAAGCAACAATCAACAATACTTTTAATTKTATTGTCTTTCAATTAACTTCAATGCTTCGTCAGTTGACACCTATTGAGCAAAAACAATGAAGCCCATTCGATGTATTTGTTAATAAATATTRTTGTGAGTTCCCACTCGTTTACACGCCAATGCACCGTAATTAAGGTCAACGCCATTAAATGTGAGTGCACAGTGGTGTCTAACGATTAATCACTTAATTCTACATTGTCTGTGCTCTTCTCTGAAACACCTGCCATCACTCTTTAATAGAGTTCGTGCTTATTTCGTGTGAAGAATTTCTAGCATGAAGGGTTCAATAGTCTATGCAAGCAGTCATTTACTAGAATTCTACTCCTTTAGCAAAAAATACTTGTACGGATGTTGTACCCCACCCAAAAGGCGTAGCGTTGCTCACCGTGCACCTGTTTCGTTTCTTACAGGTATTTCGTTTTCATTTCCAATGCCAAATCCATTTCCAAATGTCGCGTCTGCCAGCAATCAGCAATTTGTACCAATCATGTCGAACATTAATCGACTAGACGGTTAGATACGAGTATTTCTACGATTTTTCTGTGTGTGCCTCACATTAAATTCGTTGTATTGAATTACTTTACTTCGTGAAATTGCCGTTGTACATTGACAAATTGCTGGCAAGGATTGTGTGGCAGTGAGTAAGTGAGTACGAGTCTGAGTGGAAAGATTTATAGAGTGAGCTTTTGTTATTGAATAAGCCTGAGTACAAGCACATACATATCAGTTACAAGATATTACCATACTTGTAAATTGGTCTTTGCATTGATTTTGGTTTTTAGTTAATGGAAAAGAAAGAAAAATGATACTTAAATCATTTGTGTTTTATAAAAAATATTTTTTAATGACAATTTGTCGAAATTTGTAAAAAATTTAACACATTCAGCGTAATTCAGCTATATATGCATTAATTCAGCGCAATTAAACGGCAACATTAATACTTTTCGTAAGAACATAATCTAGATTTATGTGTACATATAGTCAAATAATGAGATATTAACGTAACTTGTTGAAATTTTAACGCATTTAATCGTGCTGAGCTACGAATGAATAAATTTAGCGCAGCATTTATACTACTCGTATGGATATACTTAAAATTTTCTTGCCAATGTTGTAATATAATGTCACATTAGTGAAATTTGTTGAATCTTTGACGTGTTAAGTTGCAGGTGAATTTATTCAGCGCAATTTTTGCTGATCATTTATACTTCTCATATAAATTTACTTAAGGTTTACTTCAAATTACTGCACTATAATGAAACGTTACCAAAATAAAACTGATTCATTGCTATTCAGCTACAATTCAGCCATATGCGAGTTAATTCAGCGCATATATGGTGCATAATTTATATTTTCCATGTGCATATACTTAAGATTGTTAGCATCTTAAAGCGCTCAGTATTATTCAGCTGCAATTGAGCCACATATGAGTTAATTCAGCGCATAATAGGCGCATTTTTTATACTTCTCATGTACATATACTTAAGATTATTAGCATTTTTACGTGCTCAACATTATTCAGCTACAATTTCGCTACACATGAATTAATTCAGCGCATCGTTTATATTTTTATATACATATGCTTAATATTTGCATAGAAATATTTTGCTATCAATTAGGAAAAAGCTAATTCTAATTGTAATTTTGCATAAAAATGCGGCGTTTTGGAGACTACGGTTTTGCAATATACATACACTTTCGGTAATGTAAAGCCTCGCAAAAGTCTCATCACTAGTTATGCATAAATTGTTTGATTTTAGACGCGTCATTTAGCGCGATTTAGCGTAATTCAGCGCTTTCATTAAATTAATATTCAAGCTTTAAATTCACAATATTTACAAAAACTTAAATAAAAGTACGTAAATACCGAAGAACAAACAATATTATGCTCTTCCTCCCATATAATTAATAATCAAAATAAATCGACGGTGCTTGAGATGCTCATGCGCATAGAAATTGCAAACATATGATACTATTATTCTTCAAAAACAAAAAAAAAAAAAAAACAAAACCTATTGCTGAATAAGTAAAACCATATTCAGCACAAATTGTAAATCACATGCAGCTCATATTCGAAATAAATTTACTCAGCATTTATTCAAAACACTMTTATGACCCGATAGCCATTCACTAAATGAAGCATAATGAATTCAGCGCATATTTGTTTTATTCAGTACTCATAAATCTATCCAGTTAACATTAGTAATTTAGTTTTCGTTAAGCATGAAGTAATTTAAATTTAATTTTGTCGTTACAATTTGTTATTCAGCTATTCAGCGCGCTTTCATATTCATAACTTTTGAATAATATTTTTTTGTAGAGCGTAATTTTTATATTTTTAAAATTTTCCTTTATAACATATACAATTCCTAAATGGAAGGAGCAGCGGTATTTCTGCTAACATAAAGCCTTTCGATTCAGCACGAATTTCATTCATTTAGCTGCTGAATAAAGTATTTAGTATGCAGTATAATTTCTTACAAAAACGGCAGTAGGAAGCATTAAGCAACCCACACTTGGTATGTCACTTTATAAATCAAGTTGTCTGCTGAACAGGGAAGAGTTCGTGGTGTAGAAACCGGAAGAGATTGTAAAAGCAAAGGAAAATGCCGAAAATACCAAACAAAAAACGCTGCATAACAGCGACCAAAAAAAAAAAAAACACAAACAGTGAGATGTCGTAACGGCAGCGAAAAGTGCAAAAAACTTCCGGAAAAGGGAAGGCCGTTGACAAACACTACTCGGCCGGGTAAATATGCCGCCACTGTCACTAAAACAAGTAGGAAGAGCGCAGAGCTTACCAAACAGCATATCGAAGAAATATTTGCTTATATTCACACTTATTTATATATATGTGTATATATATTTGTATATATCGTTGTATATACATATATGTGCATAATCATATATGTGAATATATATGAGACTGAACTTTCGTTGAAACACCAGCTGGAAAAAGGACAGGCTTTCCAATTTGCATGGGTGTTGGACTGCTTGAATAAATATCAGGGTGTGAGTATATTCAATTGTAAATATGTATACRTTGTATTCGTGTTTGATTATTGATGTGTCCTGAGGACTGTTGTGCTGTCCTGACTTTCCTGGAGGATTTACTCTTTTTTTTTGGTGGTTAAAGGGCAGGAAAATTTGCCAAAACAATTTGTCCGCTTACTTTGTAGTTTCGTTAACCCTTTTTTAGGCTTTCAAGGTTCCGTTCGCTCTGACGGCATATTTTGCCGTTGTGTATACTTTTTATATTCCCATCTATTTGTGGGCGTTACGCCACGTTAGTGGCTCCATTAAGAGTCATTGGCTTTGCGAAGGGTTCAATTAAATAAATGTATGAGCAAATCAAATGAAATGTATCGATAACCAGCGCACTAMGAGGTAAGATCTTAGAAGGAATCTAAAACAATGGCTTTCATTATAGAGAGATGCCATAAAAGAAAAACGAAACCAATAGCTTGATACTTTAACACAACATGTTGTCTACATTTCTCGCAATTCAGCGCTTTTCAACGTCATTTAKCTTAATTCAGCGCATTTAAAGTGTAAAAATATAAGCAAAGTTATGACTTTATGACTTTAGAACAATACTTTGTCTCCTTTCCTTACGATTCAGCGCTTTTTGATGACATTTCGCTCACTTCAAAGCTTTAAAAAATATTTCGTTTGCATTTTAGCGCAATTCAGCGCCTTTCAATGTTATTCTGTTTAATTCAGCGAACTGTATTATTCYAAATAAAATTTCTAAACTAATAATTTCTATAAAAAGAAATTARTCGGAAATAAGCGAAGTTTTTTTCACGACTTTAAAACCTTACTTTTTCTTCCTTCATTTCAATGACACTCAGCTCACTTTAAAACTTTAAAAATATGTTATTTAAATTTCGGCGCAATWCAGCGCATTTCAATGYCATTCAGCCCAATTCAGCGAATTGTAYTTAAAAAWAATAATWATTATTTCAATAAAAAATTCACCTAAAATAAAAAAAGTTTTTGTTTTCATGACGTCAAAACAATACTTTCTCTCCATTTTTTTGCAATTCAGCGCATTTCGGTGCGATTCATTGATTTCAACTTCATTCAGCTCACTTTAAAACTTACAAAAAAATATGATATTCACATTTCACCGCAATTCAGCGCATTTCAATGTCATTCAGCTCAACTYCAAATACAAAGAAGATATCACAAARTASCCAATCAAATAGGACAGACATTTAAAAATACATAACATACCGCAGAAAAAAAAAACAGAAGAGAAATGACAACAAGAATAACAACGCAATCAGATTTACAGCTTACCCCAAACGTTGCTGTTCRTGCTCTTCTTCATCCTCCATTATGTCGACTGTGGCATTCGAACCAACCATGGACGATGTGCCGGACATTAATGCGCCCATTTGTGTGTTGTTGGCTGTTGYTGCAGCARCAGTTTTTGTTGTTGGTGCATTACCGCTACATGCCGCCGCTGTTGCTGTCAATCCGGCTGTCAACATTGCAATCGTTGTTGCGTTTGATGCATTCGATGTTGCTTTTGATGTTGTACCGGCATATATTGTCGATTGTGTTGGTGTTGTAGGTGCATTGCTTACATTGTTGCTGGCAGTACTGCCACCGCTTTGTTGTAATAATAAATCATGTCGGCAGGTTAAATCGCGCTCGCCGGCTACTAATGTGCTGATCTCCRGTGGCAGCGGTTTAGTCAGGAATTTCGCTCGACGTATACCTGGAATGAAGCGCATCAAAATGGGAAATTGAAAGGTTTAGGCAAAATGCTTTTGYTTTAATTAATTTTGAGGAAATATGCAAAAACGAGTATTAGAAAARGTTGAATTTGAAAGTAGTTTTTGTATAAAGCATTTTTCTACAATAAAAATGTTTTAAAACAAGGGTTTACTCATATTTTGTGATCTCAGTCGAATAAAACGTTATTCAGCAGAATTCAGTACCATTCAGTTTGCCATAGATTTTAAATGTTATTCAGCACAATTATTTTATTCTTAGTCGAGCCAAATGTTATTCAGAAATATTCAGCAGAATTCTGTACTATTCAGTTTTGGCATATTCAATGTTTCCATAAGTTTTAAATGATATTCAGCGCTACTATTTTATTCTTAGTTGAACATACGTTAATTAGTACCATTCTTCAGAATTCAGCACTTCTCAGTTATCCCATATTCAGCGTTTCCATGAATTTTAAGCGTTATTCAACGCTACTATGCAAAGTTTAATTTACCTGATGAACGATGAATGCATTCCAATAATATTTTYAATTAAAAAATTAATTCGGTAAAAAGAACGAAAGATTGTTTGTAGTTATTTTATGAATTTTTTCTTCAAAACGGTCTATTTGAGAAGTACTKTTGACAACTCTGTAGTTAAGTTGTTTAAGAAAAAGTAATTGAAACCCTTAGAACTGCAGTCGTTATTGTCTACCATTCTACTTTAAAAATTTCACGTGTTATTCGTTGGTCTTCAGCTCCAATCAACTATATTCAGCACAATTCAGCACTAAGTTTTTGAGTGTATGGTTACTCAAAGGTGTCGATGATAATAATACTCGTATTCTTTGATGATTCAGCATATTTCTGAACAATTCAGCGCTACATTTATGCTTGATATAATCTTCTGTTGGATCATAAACTCAACTAATACTAATTTTAAACATATTTCAAAAATTTTTATTTWATTTAMTTCAAATCTTTGAAAAAATACCACAATTAAAAAAGTAGATGGGCAGTAATTCAGCACATTTCAGCATCTACTTTTTTTTGCAGTATTTTGCCGGCTTTCTGACTTGTTGATTATTTGTGTGSTTACCTATTCAATTCTTTATTCAGAACACGACCTTAGTTGAAATAAATTCAATACTTAAATGAGCCTAAACTCTCTCTACGCAGTCTATACGCGCTTGAAATTCAATCGCCTTGACATTGTGCTGCTGCTCCACCTGCAAAACAAATTAAGGAGCAAAACAATAAAGCATAGCGCCATGCGGCTCATTCGTCTCTTACACGTACGTGCCACAACGCATCATTGTCATCATCAATAAACAAAATGTGGCACACGTCTGACAGGCCCATAATATCCGAGACACATACTCGTATGATATCATAGAAAAGGTAGAGATGTGGGTGTGCTTAACTTTTATTGAATGTCAGCATTGTGCATTATTGCTTTAGCTGTTATTTTTTCGTCAGCCAAAGTCAAAGTGTTTATCACTCTCTTCATCTCACTCTTACAACTTTGCATTTCTGCTTCGTACTAAGTGCTACGGAAGTGCTGCAAATCCTTAAGTCAACACCAATAGCCCTACATACATAAACACGCGAAAACTCAGGCACTTATTTTAGTCAATCAACTGCTCTCCTTCCATTCTCTGGGCCCAGCTGTCACAATTTAAGCCCTAAATTAAATGAAGTGATTGATTACTGTATTTTAACGGTAATGCTTGTTGTAAAGCGCTTCACAGGAGAGTAAAGGTTTTGTATACTTATGTGTGTTTGTTTATAGCTTGTTCCTTACAATGTCGCATTACACCTGCCTGTGTTGGTTGTTGGTCTCTGCCTRCCTCTGTCGAGTTGTGTTTGAGTTTAACAATTTACTCAAGTTGTGTGTTAAAGAGCAGCAATTTACGCTGTCACAGTGACGTAGATTGTTAATTAAATAGATAGAGTTCATTTGAGGTGATTGTACGTACGTTGCAGATTTCTCAAAATGTCGATGGTATATCTTCGAAGTACTGAGTACTAATTTTTGATGCAAAAAAGCAAAAGTTTTCAATTTAAGCTTAATCCAGCGCGCTTTAAATAAATTCAGCTGCTTATGCATTATGAGTATTCCGCTATATGATGCGATATAATATTATATCAAACATTAAAGTGGCGCTGAATTGCTCATAATTGCGCTGAATGATCATAAAATATGAACACTATTATTATCGTAGCCTTTGAGTAAACATTAAGTTAACAACTTAGTTGCAAAGGCGCTTAATCATCCTAAGGTACAAATACTACTACTATCGTCACTTTTCAGTAATAATAATAATAATTCTCAAAATTTATAAAAATTTATATTCCGCTTTGTAAAGTAAGTTTAAAAAAAGGAGTTTCAAATAGTGTTTGTCACATGAGAGATAGGTTTTTATTATTTACCAAGGACTTGGGAAAATTCTGGTTTTGTACTTAATTTTTTTTAGACTTACATATATTACAAAAGTGCTATTTAGCTGAACTTGTTTTTTAATAATTTTTTTTAATATTTTATTCCTGAGCAGCTAGAAAATATATTCAGCTCATTTCAACACATGCCTGCTTGCCAAAAATACTCAGCTCCTATACGTTACAGTTCAAAAATTATTTGCTTACAATTGTATAAATGTATTCAGCGCAAATTTAATGTTTACCAAAATAAAATGTGCTTGATTGTAAATAACTTACCGTTAACGCTAGCGCTATTCAGCTTTAGTTGTTTAATTCAGCTGGTAAATTTTAGAAAAATATTGCATGATAAATTCCAATAATTCAATTTGGGTTTATTCAGCACAATTCAGCTAACATAATTGCRTTGTAAAGCACACTGGTACTTATGTTTAGGTAACTTTAGCTTAAACAAACTGCGCTGAATTTATTTGAACAGTATTAACTAATAACTAACCCTTAGAAAGTAGGCTTGTAGAGCTAGTGATATTCTTCAGCTCATTCAGCGCTTTAATCATGGTTTTCACGAGTTAGTAGTTAGCATAGTTAGAATAGTATTCCAATTCAAAATAAATAATCGGAATAATATTTCAGACAAGTTGCGCTTACAAAGAAAAAATCATCCACAAATCAATCGCTTAATATTTTAAACCAAGTAAATCACAACCAGTTAACAGTGTGACAAACGAAAGTCCGCCGAGGCGTACAACCAAAAGGAGGCAGTAAAAGCACAGTGTAGGCTCAAGGCAGCCAAGTCAACAACAGCTGGAAATAGTGCTGTGACTTATGTCGCTTGSCTGAGTCTATCGCACAACATTTGCTATGCTGTCAACGCCCCGCATACGTCTATAACAGACAACTGACTGCCTTGCTGTGCAATACAAAGAGCGGTGCAAGATTAAAATGTTGCACAGTACGTAAGGGAGGCGAACACTAATAGCTGAATTGATGATAATATGCGTACATAAGTAAAAACTGTTATTCGTATGTTGTGCTGAATAACGGCTGACAAGCAGAATATCGGCTGACTAGCTGAATATCAGTTCATGGACTTAARTAGTTAAAAGTGTATTTGCTTAAGCTGGTTCACAAGTATTCTGAACTTTCATTTGGTTCAATATAAACATACCCACAGAACAGGGAATCARCTCGGGATCTACGAAGTTTTGTTCTTGCTCGAAATTATTCAGAATTCTCGAAACACCACACTGGTTTTCAGAACATAGGATATTGTCTTTTACTTCGTGCTCTACTCCACTCCAGGTGCTTTGTCATCACTTTTCAAATAAATTAACTAATTGAAGAAAACTGTTTTAGAAATTAGAGTTAAGTGATATAAAACCATTGGTCCTTCTTCCAATGAACATCATTACAAAGTAAAATGCACCAAGAAGTTCAAGGTTACCCTCAGCAGCAAAGCTGAATGGAATGATTCCACTCTCTAGCAACTGCTTAGGAATAATACAATCTACGTTGTTGTTTGCATTGTTTTCCGAGCAATTTTCAGCCAAARATCTTTGCCATAAGTCAGTGCCTAGAGCTAAACATCCATCGCAACTATTGGAACGAATGTATAACCATATTTAGCGATAGTTAAACRTTACTTAAAGAAATTTCATCTTATGAGATCAAATTGCTGAGTAGCCTAACGGAACGTACCCAAGAATTGTGCCAAGTCACAAAGGTATAACCAGGAACGAACTGGCTGATGAGCTCTCCTGCTCCGACATTAAACCTGAAATACCAGAACACTTGCTAATCGACTGCATAGGGTAGGTTAAAGACATGGATCCAGTCTCCAACTASGGATACCATCGCTTCGCTAGCACCCAGCAGTATATTGGACTTTATCAATAWGCTGARTCTAGGGGAGTCTTTTTGATTTGAGAGAGTGCATTTCTCGTCTATCGATCAATCAATCGGATCGAAAACCGAAATCATCTCCACGACGCAGATAAGGAGGATCAAGCATAGTCAGTTTTAGACAGATCCACCAGATTGTAAACGGTTCGGATTTAAATCCTATCCCATAAGAATTTGACCAGGCCAGGTAGAAGTGCCTAAAAAAKTTCACATTATATTTTTCAAGAAATCAAAAGCATATATTCAAAATGGACAATGACCAATTATAACGTATACAGCTAGCGAAAAATCAGTCTTGCTGAAGGAGTAGTGACTTTTTGCAATGAGACGGAATAACCACGCAAATACTATTGTCCAATCCTCATTGAGTTTATGTGTTGCCTGGTAGACCAGTCCTTATTCACGTGATACTCGGTTTTTCGGTACTAAATTGCATGAAGACAGCCGATCTTATGCCCGTGTCCATCCGCTGTTATTGAAACGAAATTATCTACCCTTGCGAGGCAATCATCTTTAGAGTTCAGTCTATTTTCGCAGTGACTGGATAATCTTASAAAATTACTGGAAGTAAGTAATAATGATCTTCATTATTATTCAGCGCAGTCAGCCAACCCAAAGACAAAAACTGCTCTGCTATCGGGATGAGTTCGAATCTCCCGGAAGGTAGCTCCGCTTTAAAGGAGTAGATCTTTCAATACTTTCAGGAAATTGCAGTGGACCGGAAATCTGAAACTAGTCTTAAAGGGGAGCTCTGTAATAAGTACTCGTTCTCCAAGCTACTGGAAGCTCACAGATAAGTTTATWATTTATATTTCTAATAATCTAAAATATATACAGGCCACGTCCGCCCGTCCGTCCATCTTCCTGGCTACTCATTCTATATATACGCGAACTAATCATAGGGAGGATGGAGTCATGTGTAGATGTTCACGCAAGTGAGTAAAGTCATCTGATTACACTTGGGAGTGGCCAGAAACGATTCTTTTCTATATGGCTCAAGCAGCAAATATCCTCTGGGCAGCAAAAGAACATCCCTTTGAAGGCGAGCTAAAGTGAGAAGGCAAACCATACCTCCACAGGGTGGTACGCTTGGTTTTGGACCCCCCCACGTAAAAATCGCCCCGAAAAAATGAAGTCTTTGAAAGAGAAACTCCCGTTTTGATAACTCCGTTGGAAAGACCAGGCTGAGAAAACCTAGCTTCGCTTGGAATCTCCTATTGGCGACACATCGCGAAAAGAAGAAACGACTGGCGTGCTGTTGTCAACTTGGCTATTTCGCGTAAGCTGAGCCTACGCCACTAAAGAAGAAGAAGTCATTAAATTTTTGCGATATCGATATGAAATTTTGCACACGTTCTTTTCTCCGCAAGAAGATWTTCCGTTGCCGGAACTGTCCACTTCGAAYTACTRTAGGAKATAGYTGCCATACAAACTAAACAATCAMATGAAATTCGTGTYYGTAGTCTTTTRTATTTGTGAAGGGCATTATAGCAACGGTGCAACGAAGTTGACGCTAGCTGCCACCGAAACCGGCAAGTGTGAATATTTGGTTGCTCGGTGACAACTCGGTAAATAGCTGCATCAGTGATGTGGTCTAACCTTCACACAAGCATTGGCCGGCAGATTTTAAACAAACACATAACAACAACAACAGCAATAATGTGTTTTTTCTGCAGTTTGCATAGCTGTCACCAAAGGAAGGCCGAGCTTAAATTTCAATTGCCACACAAGTGTGGCATGCAAAGTTTTTCTYACTATATAGGAATGATGTTGCATTGACGCTGCAGTGACACGCATACGCACATGCAGTTCAGATGTGTGTGTGTGTGTTTGAGACGCCTGCCAGTTTGGCCGCCTGCCAATGGCCCGCATTTGCACTCACTGCCACAAACCACTAATGAAAGTCAACTTGGAAAAGTTTTGCTGCCCGCCACACCACCAAGACCACCAGCCAATGGTGAGATGATGCTACAGCAATGCATAAACTTTCTTTTGTTGTTGTGGTTAGTTTTTTTGTTGTTGCTGTATCTACGGTTTTAGGTAGTGCTACTTTAAGTTGAAAGCAAAATGCAATTAAAGTGCAGCAATGTGGTAGCCAGGCACCAGTGCCACTAACACACACAAAAACATGCACACATATATCTAGACATACGAAAATATGAAAGTAAATGAGTTATTCAAGTGAAAGATTTAACTTCATGAGGCCGAGCGAATGTTTGCCATTCGGGAGCGAACTAATTGCCTCATTGGCTTGTTGCTCTTGCATAGTTACCGTTAGCATACGAAATATCATAGCATACTTTCTTTTTGTATTGTTGTTTGCTCTCTAGTGTATACTTGTTTTATTTGCTTTTTCCGTTAGTTAGGTTGTTGTGGTTGGCTGCGTTTGGCACGTCAAAGTTTGTAGTTGATTTAAAATGAGTGAAAGTTTCCGCCAGCAACGAAAGTGGATTTCCAGATTTAATGGTTGCGTCAAGTGGCGAAGATTATAGCTGCTTCGCATTTGTTGGGAAATTTACGAAAGTTTATCAAAAACAGTAAGAACTTGTGGACGAAAGCTGAGTAGAATAGTAAAGAGTTCGAGAGCAGAGCGGCTTTGTGYAGAGAGCAAAACCAATAAGGTAGTAATTTTCTAAGTATTTGTTTGAGTGAGAGGAAAAGTGCTTTGGTGTGAGAGAAGAAATTGTATTGTAAAGGAGTTGACAGATCGAGCACATCGAATAGTAATATTAGAGAAAAAAGGTTTCATTCGAATATTGCGAAGTAAGGCTTCGTGGATCGTAAGCGACTTTGGACCTTATAATGTTTCTTTCGTTAAAGTTAAATTATACTTAATTTTACTCAAATAACAACTAACACGGCTGGTCGGGCGGACAGACGGACAGACAGACAGTCAACCGGATTTTAACTTATCTCGTCACCCTGATCATTTACATACATATATGTATACAACTCTATATCCAACTCGACAAGTTGTAGTTGATACAAACAACCGTTATGTGGGCAAACCTATTATAATCTGTAGCAACAACTTGCAAGGGTATAAAATAATAAACAAATTATTATAATCCGGGTATCGTAATATATACAAACAAACGTTGAAAATATTGGCAAAGTSTTGCCACCTTTGTAGAAATAAAAAAATTAAATTCAATTAAATTAAATTATTGCCACAAGTTCGCTAATTTTATTAAAAAAATATAAAAAAAAATTAAAATTATTATTAAACACTTTATTAAACAAAATGTTTTTTAAAGTGTTGCCACCTTTGTGCAAATTTAAAAAAATTAATGTGGTAAAATACATAGGTAGAGTATTATAATATGGGTATCGCAAGAAGACAGTTAAGAAAACAATTTTTGCAAGGTGGGCTGCCATATGTTCACTAAATTTAATTTAAAAAAAATATATAAAAGATAACTTTATTTTTAAAAACTGGTTGCAAAATACGTCCAGAATGAGTTAATAAAAAAAAATTTTTTAAAGCGTTGCCATATTTGTGAAAATTTTAAMAAGTTGAAATAGTAATATATAATATAAGTATAAGAAAGGATAATAGAAGTGGAATATTCGATATTGGTATCAAATTGTGCAGGATTAAGAAAGCATTTCATTGCAATTATTTTTGAAAGTGGTTGCCATATGTTTGCTAATTTAATCTTAAAAATATTTAAAAAATAAAATTATTTGTAAAAAACGATGCAAAGTTATATACTGAACGAAATGATTTAATTAAACAAAAAAATTGTTTAAAGTGTTGCCACATTTTTTGAAATATTAAAGAAATGAAAGGGTAACATAAATAGAGTATTCGATATTGGCATCACATTAAGCAGAATTACGGAAGCATTTCATTGCAAATATTTTTGTAAGAGGTTGCCATATGTTCGCTAATTTTTATAAATGAAAAATTAATTATAAACTTATTATTAACTGTTTACCAAAAAAAGGTATATATAATGGCTAAATTTTAAATATTTTCAAAAAGCGTTGCCATATTTATAAACATTTTTAAAAACTGAAAGACCATATAAGTAGGGTATTCGATACGGGCATCAAATTAAGCAAGTTTTAGGAATAATTTTATTGCAAATATTATTGGAAGAGGTTGCCATATGTTTACTAGATTATTTAATTTAAAAATATTTATAAAACATAACCTTATTTTTAAAGACATGAATTAATTTAACAAAAAAAAAAGATGTTTTCAAAGATGTTGCCATATTTGTAAAAAATTTGACATACTGAAATAATAATATAAATATGGTATTCGATATGGGCAAAAAACTGAGTAAGATTATGAAAGCATTTTATTGCAAATACGTACATATTATTATAAGATGTTGCCATATGTTCACTAATTTTTATAAATAAAAAATTTAAGATCAACTTATTATTAAAATTGCTTACAAAAATGAATGTGTTTATAATGGCTTAAGTTGAAATTAGAAAAGCGTTGCCACCTATTCATTTTTTTCACTTAACAATTGTAGTAAAATTATAAGATATTTCTAAGTTTTATATGAGGTTGCTTTGATTTACATATTATCTTAAAGACGTTTTAATTTCATCAAAGACGAATGAAAAWTTTCATTTTAAATTTCAAGCAAATCGCTTTTAATGCCTTGCATGCGCTTACTCACCGTGCACCGTTGCCGTTTGGTATGCCGGCGGTGGCGGCAGTGGCATCACATCAGCCGCGTTGCTCATCAACGACGGTTGCTGTAGCGTTTGTTGTTGTTGTTGTTGCGGTTTTCGCGTAGCATGCGTTAGTTGTATTGTGTGATATTTCACAATCGGCTGATTGCAAAGCAATTGCGCTGCGGCTGCGTTGCTGCTGCCCGATCCCAAGCTGGTGCCACTCATGGTTGTCGCTATTGTAGCGTCATTGTTTGCTGTTGTTGCTGCCGCAGAGGCAACGGACGTGAAGCTCGATGTTGGCTGGTGTTGTTGTTGTTGTTGCTGTTGGTATTGCTGTGGATGCGCTGCTGTGGCAATTGGAAAGTAAATTGTGGCCGTCGCTGTGCCCCCGCCTGGCACTGACACATTCGCCGATTGATAACAATTGCCCGACATGCCGGTGGCGATGAGTGTGGCGCCCACACCGATGCCGACGTTGCCATTGCCGTCGGTTGTGCAATTATTGCCACTGCCACTCAGCGCTGCGGTGATGCCTGTTGCGGCCGGCGTTGCTGTTGTTGTTGYTTGAAAACGCACYAGCGCACCGCTGGGCACAGCAACATACTGYTGTGGTTGTTGTTGTTGTTGTTGCGGYTTATGSTGGTGCGTTTGCAGTGTSGCGTACTGACGCATTGTTGGCAGTGCTTGTAGTTGTTGTTGCTGTTGTTGACCTTGTTGTGTGGGCGACGAACCGGCCGATACGATGTGGAATGTTTGCATGGCATGTTGTTGTTGTTGCGGCTGCTGTTGCAAATGTTGCGGTGATGGTGTGGCCGAGCGGCTATAAAGTTGCTGACATTGTTGTTGCATTGATTTCGGTGCTGCCGTTGCTGTTGTTGCCATTAGCATAACGTCGGGACGTTGTTGCTGTTGCTGTTGCTGTTGTTGTTGTAGCTGTGGTTGCTGCTGATGCTGTTGTTGATAGTAGTGCGCATTGATTTTCGCTSCCGTCAACATTTGATTTTGATTCAATTTCGCCGGTGAATTGTGCAGCAGGCGACAGGAATCTAAAAGGATAATGCGATGAAGCAAATGCAAATCATTAATAAAGTCGTTTAAAAGGGAAAGCGCAGAATTTTTTTTTTTTTTTTCAGAAGTTTAAACGCATACTATCCCAAACGCCATTCAAGCCTCCGGAACACCGCCTTATCTTCCAAACGGAAGTTTTTGCAGTCAGGTAACCGCCATACTTTTCGCATACACAATCTCAAAAGGACTTCCGTGCATTGKTGGGCCTTTTSACAGGTCRCAACCTRCTGCCATTGCATGCGAGCCGGAAGACTAAAGGTACCGATGGCACAGGCAGAAAATGCAGAAAAGTAGGCATGAGAGAGACCCTGCAATACTTGTCCAGCATTATCCAACCTCAAATACCCATAATATTCGCAGTTCAAAGGACTAGATGAATTATCAAGTTTAGATATCAAGTGGCTTTTAAAGTTCGCAAAAAAGCTTTGACTTTTCTTAATATTATACTACTCGATAGATGGCGCTAGATTACAATTAACTTCATAAGTCCCTATAACCAAATAATTAATACTTTTGAAAAGCATGCATTATATCGACGCCTGATYAATACATCAATATTTGTTACCAATTGGGCAGGTGTAATGGACACTTTCCCACTTTAGTCGCGTTCGAGGCCTACCTGTAACCTCTGGCATGCAGTTCAACTCCTCCACACCCAACTGAATTTTCAATTCTACCTGCCTTTAGGTTTAAACCACAGCCACCGTGAGTCTCTGTAAAGGCCCAAACCCAATGAGCTGATTGGAGCGAATTGTTAGGGGTAACACCACCCTATGGTACCAGATCTAAGTCTCCAGTCAGACCTTGTAACTTTTGCAACCCATCACACTCAATGACTGATGACATTTGTCGCTTGAATTTCAAATGTATTTTCTTTAGAAAGCATCTCACTCAAAGTCTATAATATAAGCTTCAGCTGAGTATTGCAGCATTATTTCTGATAAGACTATGCTGATACTTCGAGGCAAGCAGACATACGAGTAGTGCATATGGTATTAGATGTCAGTCATCTCTTACGACATTACTGTGCCATATTTTACCCGCTGCTAACTATTCTGCTAAGTGGCGCCTGAGCTGAATTATCACTAAAAAATAATGTATATTCATGCTTCGTTTTGTCACAAAAAATCTGGAGGAAAATGTAACTTCATGTATATAGACAAAACACTTTGAAAACTATTTGTTTTAATAGCAGGTAAATGTCTAAGATGTTGCCTGAAATCGCCATGAAAACTATTTTTTTCTTTTCAACACGACAGTTAATCTCTGCTTGGTTTAACGTTTTAAGAAAGTGCGTAAGCGACTCATAAAWAATTTTTGAGTTCAAAACTTCGAGTATTAAGAGCGTATTAACGATTAACGTCGMGTATATTTTTAACTATTAAATTATCTTTTATGCATTGGGAGTTTAAGGAAGATTGAAAAACGTTTTTTAAAGCGCATTATTGACTCGACAGATGGTGCAATAATGACTCTAATTTGTTGAAAATAAACTGCTTTTT